TTCACTATGCCAAAGGCAAATAAGCGACTGATAAAGGTGCCTTAAACAGCGAAAATCTTAGTTTTTTCTACTGTGCGCGGTGGGTGTCTATCCATTTCCGTTGTTTGTTACAATTGACTTATTTATGTATAGAGGACACCCTGACCTAATCTAAATAGCGAGACTATAAATTTACCGCTAAATCGCATATGAAAAATCCACATATTTGCGAGAGTGGTCTTCATATTTCAGAATGAATATAAATTCATTAGAAAATGTGCGTACAGAGAACTATAACGAAGTTGATCCCATGTATCGGAAACCTATCCTACAAAGATAGGCTGAAGGTACTGAATTACGCTCTGTGGAAAGTCTTGCAGTTAAAGGGATATGATTGGAATAAAAGGGATAGAAATAACATGGTGAAAGTATCTAACCAAGACAGAATTCGCAGATGTATTCAAGTTGGACACTACTTAAGGAAGTTTGTTGACGCTAGTGAGTGGCTCATGATTGAGAATTGAACCTGCCTTTCCCTTTAGATCGAATTTCATTGCCTCATTCCTCCCCAGGCGTTCTATGATCCCTACGGTTTAGCATTTCTCTTATTAAAATAAGTAGTCTGACAAATTTCAGAGGTTTCATTTGAATTGTGATGTCTATACGCTTGACGAGATAGCTGTTGACTGAATGATGGTGAATGTTTTCTCTTCCAAGGCGAGAGACATCATTGTAGTAACACCAGTAATAATTGAAAACTTGTCGACTGCATATGGGTTACTGACTGCAGTTCGCCTATATATACGTTTATCAAAATATTTTAATCCCCATTATAGAAGTTAAACTCAGTGTATTGTATATACAGAGAAATACGCCTCTGAGTATATATTGTCATATGAAATTTCTTCAGTGATTTGAAAATCGAGCGAGACAACCCGTAGCAAAGCGTCTGTTGGCATGAACAAATTCTCTCGATACTTGGTTGAGAGGTGGTGGTGGTTCGAACAAGTGTTGATTTATTGTATTACTCACTGTATTCTTGTATTTCGCAGTTATTTTACCTTTTATTTGTGTGTATCGCTTTAGTCTTGCAACACAGCTTAGTGTTTTGTGACACGTACATCCTCACTCCAGTTTGTACAGTACGAAGCTTTTTTTTTTTATCGCTTTTTCCTTAAATATGATCGTAATCAAAAAGAATAATTAATATAACAATGGTAACTGCACAAATACCACATCTTGCATATTTTGACATTTTTGTTGATGGAATTAACAGATGTTCACTGAGACAGCTTTGGTCTTCCTCTTGTCAATGTATGCTGGTGAAAAGCTAATCATTTATCAGTGTGTATAGATATCTGAAATCATTCACCTGGCGGTTCAGCATGCAGACTGGATTTCCTTTACTTCTTAAAACATTGTGTAATTGATCTGTGAGCTTGAATGTTCCCTGTGGGTCTGTGATATTTTTTAGAGAAGCTGGATTAATTTTTTTCCTCTCCCTCGTCCTACCTTTCAGTTGCCTTGGTGAAGGTGAAGAATTGAAGTTACCCTTCCCTTCGGGTTGAAAGCAATTAATTACCTCCATCTCTCCATGAGATATATAACCCATACAGGTTTAGCATTTCTCCATGATTATAACCTCCTAGTCTACCAGATAAAAATATGAATATCCCGCAGTTTAACAAATTAAACTCGAATATGTAACGTTTAGCACGAATTAAGCTCCTTTTACAATAGTATACATAAGTGGGAAGAATTTTTTTATTTATAAGTGTGGTAGTACAAGCCTGTGGGAGTTGCTACACACGGTTGATGGTGTCTGCTGGATGTGGTCACGGTATATTTTTTTTTAAATATGGAAAGGAAAAAACTGGTAGGGATATATAGCCCTAAGGTAATAGGAGGTATTAAAGATCTGCGATTGCTTGACAGAGTAGAGAACAGAGCAAGACGTCTCATCTCTCGCCTGGACCCATCCGGGATAGATCTGTCATTTCAGCAGAGCCTTCAACATAGGAAGGATGTGGGTGGCCTTACTGTTATGTACAAGGCCAATATTGTCAAAGTACCACACTTGGATCCACTTCGAGGACAGCGTGAAACAAGCTTTTATGCCACAAGACGGACAGAAAGCAGCAACTTCACTCTGGCTGTACCCTTCTCCAGAACATCTCTCCATCTGAGATCATATATACCCAGGATGACTAGAGTATGGAACACATTCGTACAGCATAATGATGTCAACGAGATAGTCAGTTGATCACATGAAAATGCTGGCCCACAGATGGCTCCAACTTCATCCTGTTCCCTACTTGTATGTCTCATAACAATAAAAATGCTTTCAAATGAGCTGATGTAGGTAACAGCTCTTAGCTTGCCAATAAAGTTAGGAATCCTTAACCTGTAAATAGCTTGTCAATAAAGCTAGGGATCCTTAACCTTGTCAAGCCCTGTGTTTAAAAAAAAAAAAAGTTAGATCAAAGGAAGAGGAAAAAAAAAAAGGTCCAATTTCTTGGAACAAGGCTACAGTTACAGTTATTAACAGCATATCTGACAAACTGCTTCAGGTGTTACTTAGTGTTAAAAGATGATTGTAATAATTGTCTTCTAAGACCCAATTATAAGTAACATTAAAAGTCTCTTATATAAATAATGATTAGATAAGAACTAAATAAAATCTTGCGCAAAGTTGTTAATATAAAGAAAAATAGTGCAATAAGTTTGTTTAAAGAATATTTTTGCTTATTTTCTACACAACCCGCACATAGGAGAGAGGAGCTTACGACGACGTTTCGGTCCGACTCGGACCATTTACAAAGTCACACTGTCACAACGTCGTCGTAAGCTCCTCTGTCCTATGTGCGGGTTATTTGTGTATTGTTCCAGTCACGGTATTGTGCCTTTTTGTTATTTGCTTATTGAAACTAGCAAGGTTAACAAGCGGTAATAATAATAATAATCTTTACTTCTACAAGTACATGGTACAACGTATACAAAACTCACCGACATCAGTGATATACTACATAGAAAGCCCCTGGTTATGTAGAGCATTTCCGGCAACTTGAGTTAATTTTGTCTCCAGGATGCGACCCACACCAGTTGGCTAATACCCAGGTGCCTACTTTTGCTGCTAGGTGAACAGGGACAGTAGGTGTCTTAAGGAAACACACTCAAGTGTTTCCACCCGTACCGGAGATCGAACCACGGACACTCAGTGTGAGAGCTGAGTGGGCTACCAGCCGAGCTACGGAAAAGGTAGTGAAATTTAGGACATTTATTATTAAGATAAACGTTAAACCCGAAAGTGCCATACAATACTGATTAAAGGCTTGAAATAATGGATATAACAAGGATAACAAAAATGTCTATATCCTTCATCTCTCGCAGTCTGTAGCGAGCCCACTCTACAGTAGACTTTTATTACCTTTAAGTGGCTTCTTAGGGCATATCTGGAGATAGACCCTTCAGAAGCGGTGAGCCCGGTGGCCCTGCAGACTAGGAACAAATTGTACTGTTCGGCAGGACGTGGGTATTTCGTCCCCCCCCTTCCCAACAGCAATCATCACCTTGCAATGAATCTATCTCGATTGAGGATCGGGCACACATTTCATCCATAGCCACCTGTTTGCCTGTGTAGCTTGTTTTGTGTCGCTCACTGTGGAACATATTTTAGCAGTTCGTTCACGGCTTATGCCTTTTTGCCTTCGTCTTGATGTTTGTAATTAAAGAGGGGCCTGTAGGGACCTTTGGAACTTTTAGGAGAGCTTTATGACATTAATTAATGGAGTTGTAATTGATGCTGGTTATTATACGTTGGTATGATAACATTTGTGTTGTTTACATTTATTAGTTCATTTTATATTTGTTATTGTATAGTATTCCTATGGCCATGAGTTTTGAGTGACCCAAGCGGTAACCTCCCCATTCTAAATTCTTGTCTTCCACTTCCTCTGTTTCTCCTGCACCCTACTACTCTTCCAAAAGGCTCGCTTCCCACTTAGAGCCTCTCCTCTTCCCTTGTCCCACTCGGATGGCTGAGATAGTCCGGCTGCTGAAAGGTTTTATTATGAAGTGGCTCAACTGTGGAGTGGCTCAACTGTGGAGTGGCTCAACTTATGGCTTCTGCGTGTGTAGAGGATGAATGGCGGTGATAGGGCCAGAGACCGTCTGTGTAGGTGGGTCCAAGAGGTGTGTGTGTGTGTGTGTGTCAGAGAGAGGGGGAGAAATGGTAGGAGGGAGGATGAGTGAGAGGGTCGGATTATGGAAGGATACCAATGTGGTAGGGACGGGGTATGAAAGAGTGGAAGACAGAACGAATAAGTTTTACAGGTAATCATCCCGTGTTGGGTGTGTGAGGCAAACACCTGTTGCTCTAACATTGTTAAACATCATATAGATCAGGGTAGCCACATATTTCGCTTGTACTAGTGGTAATTATACAAAAGCAAGAGATGATGCTCTTTGTGTGACCCATACGGTTTTAGCTCTTGTTTTTTAATGCAGTATTTGATTAAAAAAGAGATAGTCCTTCCAAATATTGAAAGTGGGAGAAACATGTTTTTTACCACTCCACGGACATTACAACCCAGCTTTCATTGTCCTAAGCTTTTACTTAGTTTTTACTCTCACCCTAGATAAAACGATGTATAATATATAATATAATATAAAATATATATATATATTTATATAATATATATATATATATATATATATATATATATATAAATATAAAAAAAAATTTTTTTATTTGACCAAAAATTTTTTCCTCCATAAAACCCCACCTTTTTTAAATAATTTTTTTTCCAAATTCACCGTATTAATGATTCCCTATTTAAGTTGAATCGAAGGGCTCATCCTTCATTATCTTATTCAACTCTGGTTCTCTCGTTAATCACTAAGAGAAAAAATTAGATGGAGACTGTTGAGAAAAAAATAATAAGGTGAGGGTTATTGAAATTCAGGAAGAATTAGCTGTGTTGGGGTATAAAGTGTCTTGCTGACTGTATGTTTCCCAACAGTTGCTGAAGTTGGGGCAGAAGTTGTTGGGAAAGCGTCTCTTCGCCGTCCTTATGAAAGCCACCTTCTACGGCCACTTCGTCGCTGGTGAGGACCAAATCAAGATCCAGCCTGCCTTGGAGAGGCTTCGCTCCTTTGGCGTCAAGTCAATCCTCGACTACTCGGTGGAGGAGGACATCAGTGCTGAGACTGCCGAGAAGCGGGAGATGGAGTGAGTACCCACGCTTTCCTTAAGACTACCTTTGTTTATCCTTAAGCCCTTGAGCTGTGACTGTAGCTGTGTGGAGGGGCTACTTTTGTAGCTACACTGTATTATTATTATTATTATTATTATTATTATTATTATTTTTTATCACACTGGCCGATTCCCACCAAGGCAGGGTGGCCCGAAAAAGAAAAACTTTCACCATCATTCACTCCATCACTGTCTTGCCAGAAGGGTGCTTTACACTACAGTTTTTAAACTGCAACATTAACACCCCTCCTTCAAGGGGGAAGCGCTAAACCCGGAGGATTATGCAGCGCCGGGGGGGGGATGTGGAAGGCATTCAGGCTTAATTCGGGAAACTGGAGCACAGATCCAATTCCCTAAATCAAGAGCCCCTCACCAACATCAAGGAACCTTCCTTGAGGGGAGCTACACTGTAACGACCGTGTAGGGTTACCTCTGTATCTCTACATAAGCTATGTGCTTGTTCTGCCCACTTTTCAGTGTGTAATTTATCACGTAAGCTTTAAAGTGCTCTGTGTGTATTTGTACTCATAGAGTTGTTTTTTCGGGGGGTCGAGACTCGGCTCCTGGTCCCACTAGCTAGACTGGTTGGCATTGCTAATTTTTGGTCTCGTGGGTCATGTACGTGTCTTTGCAAGCTCTTTGTGTGCGTGTGTGCTCGAGTCTTAGCTCCTGGTCCCACGTCTCGACTGTTGCTTGGCAGATTCACACCCTCCTAGTCTCGTGGATCTTACCGTATTTGCTCTTAAAGCTATACATTGAGCCTGCCTCCACCACTTCTTCATCGAGAGTATTCCACTTTCCGACCACCCTGAGATTGAAGAAACTAACCATACCACGGGCGGGGTTCTAACCCCGCTCGTGGTATGGTTTGTTTGCAGTCGTGTCATTACGATTTCGTGAGTACTGAAGAAACTTCCTGGCATCTCTGTGGCTTATCTGTATCTTTTAACTTCAGGTGTGTCCCCGTTTCTCGTCGCAGACAGCCTGTCCCTGTCTAATCTATCAATTCCCTGAGTATTTTATATGATTATCATGGTTCCCCTGGTTCTTCTGTCCACCAATGTCTAGATTTAATTCTGTTAGCTTCTCATAGCTCATGCTTTTTAACTCGGGAATAAGACATGTTGCGTACTTCTACACTTTTTCCATTTTCTTAACATTCTTCTTCAGGTGTAGTTTCCATACTGGGTATACTCACCTAATTGTGGTTGTAGGGGTCGATTCATTGCTCCTGGCCCTGCCCCCCCTCACTAGTCGCTACTAGGTCCACACACACCCTGTTCCATGAGCTTTATCATGCCTCTTCTTAAAGCTATGTATGGATCCTGCCTCCACTACACTCTCCAGACTTTTCCGCTTCCTGACAACTCTGACTAAAGAAATACTTCCTAACATCCCTGTGACTCATCTGAGTTTTCAACTTCTAGTTGTGACCCATTGTTGCTGTGTCACATCTGAAACATTGTCACTGTCCACCTTGTCAATTCCTCTCAGTATATTGTATGTTATCATGCTCTCCCTGTCCTCCAGTGTTGTGTGTAAATTGTACACTCCATTTGTTCTGGAGCCAGAAAATGAAGCACAAAAGGCCACCGGCTGCCAAGTGTGTGGGGGGTTGCTGTTGGGCGATCCTCCAAGTAGAGCAAGCAGCCTGCTGTCCCGGTCACCAGTGCCCACATCCTGGTATGCATGACGTGTGTAGTTGGCTAAACAAGTCAGACACTCACAGGTCCAGGAAATCAATACAGGTATACCGCAGTTCAAGTGTGCGCATATTAAGGAGTAGTGGTTATTGCGTTTGGCGCCTAACCAAAAACCAGCCGTTTCGATTCCCGAGCAAGGCAAGACTTGTTGGGTAAGTCTCCTTGCATCTTCTGTCACTGTTTACCTAGCAGTAATACGTACCTATGGGGTAATGCTGTTTCGTATCTTGGGGGAAAAACTCAAGTGAAAGTAATAGTAAAAATACGAGTGGATGAGTATTATTGTTCCAGTAACTGCAAATGGGTAATCTCAAATAGGCAAATAATAGGATCACTTAGACCTGGTTGGCGACGTATACGTAAGACAGTTGCCCAACTATGCAGCACCAATAGAGCGTAAATTGTTGGGAGTGAGAGCAGCTCCACTGGTAGTGTTGTCTGATTACAATTGGCAAGCATTTGTCGCAAAGTGACACATCCTTCAGTAACATCCAGTGGTAGGAAACTGCTTGTTTTGTCGTTTGGTATAAAAAATGGATGAGCTTATTAAAATATGAATTTTTGTCAAGCTTCAAAACGTGGCTCATGCTTGGCAAGGAGTGGTGAAGGTTCTAACCTCCAAAACAGCGAGTCTTACATTATTTGGTGTTCCAAGAGTACATTTTATGAAGATAGTGTTAGGTGAAGGCTTTATTCTGGCACCTTGCTGATATACAGTACTTATCCTGCTAGCAGATCACTCCGCACAGACAGAAAATACGGGACAGGGCTACTTACGGTGATATTAATTCGTTAGGTTCAAGATACTGGGCGGGGCTAAACATAATATCAGTTTGTTGAGTTTAAAGCCTATCGACTAAACGTAGGTCATAAAGTCTGCAGGTCACCTGAAAAAAGTAATTAAGTGTATATTCACTGATAGTGAATTCTTGAATTGGTACCAAACCTGTACAAGCGGCTTGGTAGAGAGTGCAGGATACCACTAATGAATAGCAGGGGGAGCGATGAGTACACTGAGAGAACTCAACAAGTGTCAACCTTCCCCCCTTCTGTTGTCTTCAAGAAGAAACGCGAAAGATTCCTCAAAGCAGTTCCTGATCAACCAGGTTGTGGTACATACGTTGGACTGCGAGCGGCGGGCACTAACAACTTCATCGATCAGGCCAGCAATCGTGTCTATCTGGGACCGGGCCGCGGGAACGGTGACCTCTGGAAGCGACCAGTTCACCCACCTACCCTTTTCTTCATCTGAATCACAACTTCTGCAGGAGTCAGTCGCCAAATGTCCTCACTCCCATGCTCCAGCAACCAGTACACGTATATACCCTGTTGCATGCAACCATCTGTTTGTTCATATTTCTACCTTATTTTCTTCGATAAACACACATGCTTTTCCTAGAAATCTTGATTTCTCTTTAGATCTATTGGAATATTTTCTTCTCCACCCACCCATGCAATATATGTAATTTGTATTTGTTATAGTTTCAATGGTTTGCAAAGACTTTTCTCAATCACTAAGGACACTTCAACAGTGCCACAGTGAAATGACATAGGATATGTACACTGGTGGTGAACAGGTTTATATGCAGTCTTGATGACTCGTGCAGTCGATAGCCTTAAACCCCATTTGGTCATCCTTGGAAATAAAACGTAGCTTTCAGTAAAAGAAAAACTTACCTCGTTTTTAATTTGGTTAATCGTGCGTAACCTGATTACGAAGCTAAGAAAGCGATGACCTTTCCCCCCCCCCTTTGATATGAAGGAAGGAAATCGGTGTGTGTGTTTGTGTGTGTGTTTGTGTGTGTTTGTGTATGTATGTATGTGTGTACGCGCATCTAATGAGCCCTGGGAACCTGCCCATCTGGCTGGTGGAGCCCCTGGCACATCAGCTGAGTGCTGAGGTGGTGACACGGAATATCAACCCTTCATCCTAGTATACGAGTATTAGGTTTCCAAAGAATTAGGTCAATAGAATGCACTGCATGCGTTTATCCTGCCGCCGTTGTCCTCTCCATATGCAGTTCAATTTACATATTGATAATAAGCCTCTTAAAGTCCTTAACAAAAGATCGTTGAATCAGTTTGAAATAAATCATACTTTTAAAAATTTTACCATTGTTCATTTAGCTACCTTTCTTATTGTGCATGTATTAGTAGGAGTAAATTGCATAAAACAATGTTAATTAATAGGTTGTCTAATTCTTACTCTTTAAAGCATTATGATTAGTTTGCCTTAAGTGCATTAACATACTAATGGCTTTTTGTCTAACAATGTTTTATTACATATAAAGTACATAACGCAAATAACCCCCACACGTTTCGGCTCGAATTGGACCATTTAACAGCCTTACCACTACTACTTTTTCTTCCTTTCTTGGTCCCGTCACTTTCCCCCCTCGCCTATATGTACTGGCTCCCTCACTTTTTTTTTTAAATCGTTATAATTATAACCATAATTTTTAAAGGGGTGTACCGGTAAGCCAGCGGAAGGCCTCGGTCAGATGACCAAATGCTCCGGCTGCGGGTCATCATACGACTAAGACCCGCGTCAAGAAACACTTGTCCTGTTTCCTGACAAATCTTACCTAACCTAACCTAACTCTTTTGTATTAGTGTGACTTTGTAAATGATCAAAGTCGGACCGAAACGTCGTGGTAAGTTTCTCTCTCTCCTGTGTGCGGGTTATTTGTGTATCGTTCCAGTCACTGTATTGATTTTATTTTTATTATCTTTGTACATAAAAATAAATAAAAAAATTAATTTGAATAATTATCAGTGAGCAGAACCTAACATTGGAATTTTGTAGACAGTGATGATCAGGAATGTTTAACAGAGAGTTTAGAAATAAACAAATTGAAATAAGAAAGAAAACAAACCTTTGTGGTTAGCATTACAGGCAGTTTAAATATTCAATATTTTCAATAGTATTTTCGGAGTCAAAAAAAATACTAGGATAATCGGTACGTGTGAATCCACAAGACGTAACATTTATGAATAGGTGAAATAAATTAGATATAGCAATACAGTAATTTTAAATTATTATTATTATTATTATTTATTTATTTAGAGCGGAAAGCCTATATAGATCCTTCGGTGCAAGTAGTTAATGCTAGTTAACTAAGAAGCAACTATAGCAGTAGACTTGAGAGCTGGAGGTCTACCTCTATCCCTATAAGCGCAGCTTCATGATTACAATTTTGTGATGAGAACAGACATGTTGCCAAGTCATGCTTGTGTAGAGCTTCATAAAGTCATTTAAGCTCTACGCAGCGC